AATTGTTCTAACAACACTCCAAAAGCAGCAAAAGCAGTTCTAAGAGGGAAGTTTATAACATTACAGTACTTCCTTGAGAAATAAGAAAAATCTCAAATAAACAACCTATACTACCACCTGAAGGAATTTAAGAAGGAACAAACAAAACCCAAAGTCAGCAGAAGGAAGGATATAATAAAGATCAGAAAAGAAATAAATAAAATGGAAATTAAAAAAAAAAACAATTGAAAAGATCCATTGAACAAAGAACTGTTTTTTTAAGATACACAAAATTGATAGCCTTTAGCTAGGCTCAACAAGAGAGGACCCAAATAAAATAAGGAATGAAAGAGAATAAATAATAAGCAATTAAATAGAGATACCAAAAATCATAAAAGTATGTTATGAACATTTATAGCCAACAGATTGGACAACCTAGAGAAAAATGGACAAATTTCTAGAAACACACAGCCTGCCAAGACCAAGTCAAGAAAAACAGTTTGAACAGGCCGATTGTTAGAAGTGAAATAGAATCTGTTATTTTTTAAACTCCCTGCAAACAGAAGTCTAGGACCAGATAGCTTCACTGGAGAACTCTTTTAAACATATAAAGAAGATCTTATACCTATCCTTCCCTAACTATTCCAAATAATTGAAGAGAAGGGGACACGTCCAAAGTCACTCTTTTATAAGGCCACTACTAACCTGATACCAAAATCAAAGACACTACAAAAAAAGAAAATTACAGGCCAAAATCTTTGATAAATATAGAACAAAAAAATCCTCAATAAAATATTAGCAAACAAAATTCAACAAAATATAAAAAGGATAAATAACCATGATCAACCTGGATTTATTCAAGGTCATAAGGATGGTTCAACATTCACAAATTAATGCAATGCACATTAACAAAAGGAAAGACAAAAATTACATAATAATCTTAATAGACACAGAAAAAAAACACTTGACAAAATTCAACATTCATTCACAATTTTAAAATCTTCTCATCAAAGTTGTTATAGGGGTAACATATCAAAACATGATAAAGGCCATTTATGAGAAACACAACAAATATCATACTCAATGGAGAAAAGTTGAAAGTTTTCCCATTAAATTCAAAGATAAGAATGCCCAGTCTAACCACTTCTATTTAACACAGCATTGGAAGTCTTAGCTTCATCAGTCAGACAAGAAAATAATTAAAAGTATCAACATTGGAAAGGAAGATGGTAAAACTGTCACTATGCAACTGACATGATAATCTACATAGAGAACCCTAGAGTATCCACCCAAAAACTACTAGAACTAATAAATGAATCCAGTGAAGTTGCAGAATACAAGTTTAATGTACAGGAAACTCTGCTGTTTCTAAAACCAATAATTAAATATCAAAAAGAGAAAATTTTAAAAATCCCTTTAAAAACAAAAAGAGATAAAGCCCTCTGCATAATAGAAAACCAATCTGCATCTTCCAAATTTGAAAAACCATGAAATATTATTTAGGAATTCTATGACCAAATATAGCTAGCCCCCCAAAAGAGTAAAAGAAAAACTGGAGATGAAAAGGAATGAGTAAGAGAACTGATATTTTTACCTAAGTAAAACAATTTTATTTTTAAAATAAAGATGTACTTTGATATGAGAAAAATTAGTCATGTAAACTTTGCATTGTATAGATTGATTTTAGAAAGCTATTTTTTTTAAAGTAATCTCTTTAAAATGGCAATCAAACCCTACAATTTTCTTTCTATTACAATTGTGACTTCAAAACCTGTTTCCCTTTTGAAGCTCAAACCTTGTGTGTTTTTGTAACCATTTATGTGACTTTTGCATTCTCTGGTCATCACTATTCCTAGCTTTATTAATTTATCTTTTGTAGAATTAGAGAAAATAGTCGTGTTATCTTTAAGCTAGCTTACATGTTTATCTGTGGGTTTTTTCCTTTTGTAGGACATATCTCAAAACAACCCAGTAAGTTTCTTTCTTCACTGCTTTCTTTCTATGTCTAATCTATGGTGATTTGGACTGCTAACTGCAAGGGTTTTGAACTTTGTATATGTTACTATTTCTGATTGTAAAAAATTCTGTGTAGAGAGTATCAGAGTCTTTATGAAATAAATTGAAAAGGGGTACTTCTTCTCTTCCCTCCTGAGGTTCACAAAAATGACAGGAAAATAACAAAAGTCACAAACTTATAAAACATGTTAAGAAAGCATAAAAGAATGTAAAAATTAACTGTAGTATATGTTTACTTATGCTTACCCACATATTTACTTTTTTCTTGATTCTTTCCTGCATTTCTATGCTTCCTTCAAAAAATTTGTTTTTATTCTTTAAAATCTTTTAATAATTTTGAACCATTCTCTCCGCCATCCATGTATGACTAATATTTTATGCTTGTTAGATGATTTTGTCATATCTTATATATCTTCTCTAAGGTCACTTATGTCTTACTGGATGTCACTTGGGGACACTCAAATCCCAGAAACCCTGAAGTTCTTTGCCCCACTGCCCTCACACAGGTAGTCTCACAACTAGGTAGCTTACTTCTTCAAAGCTCAGCAGCAAAATCTCTCAATTTTATCTGCTAACAGTGCATCTTAAATAATTCAACATGATCATGGGATTGACTATACTAAGGCCTTGGCCATGTTTCTAAGCTGGAAGCAAGTCAAAGTTTCTTCCTACACTCAAAGGGAGGGCATTTAACAAGGGGTGACTGATTAGAGCAATTCTGAATACCACAGAAAGGGAAAGGGAGTGAGGTACTGAATGAATGAACAGGAAGGTCTCATCTTAGTAGAAAGTCAGTAAATACTGTATAAAACAAGTAAAGAAATCACATTTTCAGAAAGTTATTTCCAACAAAAGAAGCCTACATTTAGGTAAAAGGTAGATATAATTTGGAAGAGCAAATGTGATTTCAAATGGTTGGTGTAAGGAACCAATATAAGCATACAAAGTTAGTGTTTTAATCTGTGGGGTTTATTATTATTTATGTGTGATAAGGCCAATAGATAAGTAGATGACTACAGTGAAAACACAGTTTGTAACTCACAGGTCCCCGGAGGACAGGACATGCCACATTAGGCAGGATCACATGGGGAATCATCAGGGTCACGAAGAAGATAGAGGGAGTCAAGGGAATACAATAGGGGAGGGGCGGTCCAGGCAGGAGGCTTCATTATGGCTTTCCTGGAAATGAGCAAGACAGTAAACAAGCTAAGCAGGTCTAGGAATGGCTAATTTAAAGAATTTCAGCAAGCTCCAGGGTATACCAGTAGCACCTAATTATCTGATACCTGGCTCCGGGGAGTTTAGGGCAGGAAAACAGTGACTCAGAGTACAAGAGCCCAAAGGAAGTAGTTTGGGGGTATAGGTTCTGGGTTTGTTAGTTTGCGTATTAAAGGTATGCTGGCAAGAGAGTTATTTTAAGGTCTCAAGGAATTGGCTAGGCCTGGAAGGGGCAGCAAGATCTCAGGTACCAAAAGCATCAGAAATACAGAAAAGAGAAAAGTATGATTAATACAACTGATTTTTTAATTTTTTGAAAATATATTTTATTACAATTAAATTTTAATAGTACTATCTGATTGTGACAATAAAGCATTCCCTTCATCATGAAATCCTATTGGAGAAAACTAGTCTATTTTTTAGGGTCAAGTAACAATTTGCATTTGTTTATTTTGTGTGTGTCTCAGCTGAGAGACCAGAATCCATTAATCCATTAATAAGTCTATTTTCAATCTTCCCTGCATGGTTTAGTCTCCCAAATAAAAAGAAACTTTTCACTCTCTCAAGCTGTTATAATTTACATTTTAAAAACCTCTCTAGAATAGATCATAGAATAAAAATATAATCTTATCTCAAACAAGTTACACTTATGTTATTATTTGTATTCTAGGGAAAACCCTAGAAGCTATTAGTACCCTCTGTTTGTGTTTCTAAGCTGTGGGTGATCTGGTCTGCTAATTGTGAGGATTTGAGTTTTCCATGTATTACAATTTCTGATTGTAAAACTACCCATGAACATTATCAGAGACAATATTATACAAATCAAAAGCTGGGCACTTTCTTCTCTTTCCTCCTGAAGCTTGCTAAAATGGCTAAGCAAATTATAAAAGCCACAAACCTGTAAAACATTTTAAGAAAACAGGAAAGATTGCAGAAATTAACTGCAAGTCAAAGAAAAGTTTGCACAAGAAAACTGATAAATGGCTCAACTACAAAGATTATTTTATGATCATGGTATTGCTAACATACTGATTTTCTTTTTAATGTGACATGATTTTGTTGGAGAAAGAGCAAGAGAGAAGGGTAGAAAAAGAGGTAAAACCTTGATTTCCACAAGAGGAAGCTAGTTCAAATTGTAAAAATCATAAGCTATCTTGTAGATATTCTAGTATTGAATATCGCTCAATAGCCAAACCTCCTTAACATAGTGAAAATGAAAGAAGAAACAAGGAGTAAGATTTGATTGGTAAGAGGACTGGCATATTAATTTTAAAAAATAATTTGATTTTTAAAGTACATACAGGTACTTTGATATATTAAAATTAATAAATAAAGGTAAAATTTTAATTCCAGTGCATAATTTTAGAAAGATATAAAGTAAAAGTTGTTGTTTAGTTGTTCAGTTGTGTCAGACTCTTTTGCATCCCCATGGACTGTAGCCTGCCAGTCTTCTCTGTCCATGGGATTTTCCTAGGCAAAAATACTGGAGGGTGTNGCAACTAAGCCCACATACCACAACTGCGGGATCCACTCACCACAACTAGAGAGCTTGCATGCTGCAACTACTGTACCACAATGAAAGCGCCTGCATGACACAATGAAGTTCCCAACACAGACAAATAAGTAAATAAATTTCAAAAAAATAAACACATGTGCTTTAAGAAAAATTAAACAATTCATGCAAACTTTGCATTCTATAGGTTGATTTCAGAACAATATTAAGGAAAAGTAGTCTTCTAAGAGATAATAAATGCCTTTTTTTTTTCTTTTTTTCTATTTCAGCTGTCACTTCAAAACCTGTTGGTAAGTTTTATTTTATTTTGGTAAGTTTTCTTTTAAATCTCAAATATCCTGGGTTGAAAATAACCTACAAGGAATACTTGCATACTTTAGTTGTCTTCATTTCTAGCTTTGTAAATATACTATTTAGAGAACTGCAGAAAATAATACCTTTGTTAGCTTATATGTCTATTTGTGTTTGTTTCTGTAGGGACTACCTCAGGACAAACCAGTAAGCTCCTTATCTATCTCTTATTGTTAGTACACTTTGGTATCTGATGAGTAGAAAAATATTTTAATTATATAGTGATGACTGTCATAACTGTTTAAATCCCATTATTATAAGAGTAATACTGGAGTACTTTAGGTTGAAGATGAACACTTGAAAAACTATATTTTCCTCCACGCACTCCTGGAAACACATTAAATAACAGAAAAAGAATTTAAGGCAAAACTATGATGTCTAGAAATAAAAAAAGAAATAAGCAGATGAAAATCTGAAACAAAACTATTCAAGTTTAAAAGCAGATGGATGAGTAATAACTAACCTAGCTAAGACAAAACATGAATCCCAGAAAATTCAAGAGAATTAAATCTAACAGTAAAATCAGAGGACTCAGAATTTCCAGACTGGGTAACATTTAACCAACCACCTAAAAGCAGAAATGAAGACAGGATGATCAGCTGAAAGTTTGTTAAAAATAAGTCTATATAAATCATCTCTTCCACTCCTCTCAATCAAGCTTCTACTTTGATCCCACAATTTAATATTCTCAGGAAAAAATGGATGAAAGAAGCCCTGGATACAGGGATTGTCTCCTTTATCTTTCTGACAGTTCATTGTTAGTATATAGATATGCAACAGATTTCCATATAATAATTCTATATCCTGAAATTTTACTGAATTCATTGATGAGTCCTAATAGCTTTTCAGTGGTATCATTAGGATTTTTTAAAAATAGCATTATGTCACCTACAAACAGTGATAGTTTTATTCCTTCCTTTCCAGTTTGGATCCCTTTATTTCTTTTTCTTGTCTAACTGCTGTGGCTAGGACTTCCAAAACTATGCTGAATAAAAGTGGTGTGAGTGGGCATCCTTGTCTTATACCCAATCTTAAAGGAAATGCTTTCAGCTTTTCACTATTGAGTGTAATATTGGCTGCGGGTTTGTCATATGTGGTATTTACTATGATAATATACATTCCCTCTGTTTCCACTTTGTTGAGAGTTTTTATTATAAATAAATGTTTAATTTTGTCAAATGCTTTTTCTCTGTCTTTTGAGATGGCCATGTGATTTTCATCTTTCATTTTTGCTAAGATGTATTTTAAATCAGCATTTATTTTAACCTGATAATGCCTTTTCATTATTTTTAAACATATAATATTTACTTCTAATTTGTGTTATGCTTGTTGCATCCCAAATGACCATACTTCCATACTTCCAACAGGAATTATTTTCCTTTTATTTCATTTAACATTCCCTTTAGTGCCTGTCCTATTCTCTCTGCCTCACTTCTGTAACTAAAATGTCATGTTTGTTAGGTTATTTCACAATATACTATATGTCTCTTTCGTGAGGTGTCCACTTTCTTACTGGCTGTCAACTGAGGCCACTCTCAGATGTTAGAGACTTCTAAAGTTTCTTCCTACCTTATTCTCTCAAAGACATTCACACAACATAGAAGCTTACATCTTCAAAGCCAGCAGAATCTCCAGCCTTTAGAACTAAGCCATAGATGCTGTAACACTATCATGGTAGTGACTGTCCTATAACCTTTGCCAACTGCTATTAACTATAGGTTCTATTCTCACTCAAGTAGAGTGCATTACACAAGGATGTGACTCATTGGATTTACCTTAAAATACGGCTATATGGAGGAACAAGAAGGACTAATCTTGAGAGTAAGAAATCAGTACATGATATTTAAAACTAAAAATATAAGAAACCACATATCGAGAAAGCAGTTTTGAAATATTTCTTGTAAGTCCCAGAAAAAGAGATTGCACACAAATATTGAATAAATGCCTTTGAAGAGAAAAATCCAACTATGAATATATTCACTAAGGAACTAATTACTTTTGCTACACACCTATAAAACAAGTGGGCTGTAAAACTAGAAAATATATGACTTTCATAAACAAGTAAACATTAATAATATATTTGAGCAGGTCCATTTTATATTGTGACTAAGTCAAAAATATTATAAGAAAATCTAGTTTTCTTTCATTAAGCAAAGAATATTGCATTAGTTTTGTTTGTGCTTTGGTTGAGACTTCAAAATCCATCTGTAAGTTAGTTTAGACATCTGCACATTCTGTTTGTGAAAAGGAAAACTTTTGAGTTTTGCAAGTTATAACTTCAATTTTTAAATCACTCTAACTTAGAGAGAAATATTTTTTTTTATTTTTTCACTAAGTACCTTCTCTTTCTATTTTTAATCTTGGGATAATTTGGATCACTAATTGTGAAACATTTGCAATTTTGGAATGTGACCATTTCTAATTGTATAATCACCAAAGAAGAATATCAGAAGCCATATTAAAATAACTGAATATGGGAAATTCCATGGTGGTCCTGTGGTTAGGACTCTGTGTTCTCACTGTCAAAGGCCTGGGTTCAACCTTTGGTCAGGCACTAAGATCCCACAGAAGCCACACAGCATGGCCAAAAACTTTAAAAATAAAATATAATTATTAAAAAGATAATTGAATATGACACCATCTTCTTTTCCCTCCAGAAACTCACTTAAATGAGGAAAAATAACAAAAGGCAAAAATCTTCTAAATCTATGTAAGAAATCCCAAAAAACAAAGAATTACCTCAGAGAAAAGAAAATTTTGCACATGAAAGCTAGAATATTATGACTCAGCAATAAAAATAATTCACATAATCATGATATTGCTAACAAAATATACTGATTTACCCAAAAAAAAAAATGTTCAACTGGTTTCTTATAGGTACATGGAAATTGAATTGGAGAAGGGTAGAAAAAAAGAGGCTAAGCACAGTTGCCCATAGTAGGAAGCCTTTATACATTATCCATACTTTTTAATCCTAAAATAGACCTTTTATAACCAAATATTAAATGACACTCCAAAGGGATGAAAATGGAAAGGAAATTAAGGGCAAGAAGGAAATGGTCAGAGAATTGCTGTTTTTACTCACATAAAATAATCTTACTTTTAAAATACATATATGAACTTTGATATAGGATAAGTTTGATTTAAATAACTTATGTAACTTTTGAATTCTATAGTATGATTTTAGAAACATAGCAAAGAAAACTAATTTCCTCCTAATGGGCAACAAATGCCTATATCTTTTTTTCTTCTTATTTCAGTTGTGACTTCAAAACCTGTCAGTAAGTTCCTCCTTTGAATCTCAAATATTGTGTTTTCATATCAATTAACACGAGATCTTTGTGTTCTCCACCTGTCATCATTTCATTTCTAGATTTGCATCTGTCATTTAAAAATTAGAAATAATTGCTGTATCACCTTTAAGTTAACTTATATGTTTTTTTGTATTTGTTTCTATAGGAACTGTATCAACACAAACAGGTAAGTTCCCTCTATATTGCTTACCACCAAGAGATGTGTTGCTTTCTTAGGAAAAAGAAAACATTTCCTTTCCTACACTTTTATAAATCTTGTTATTAAGAGTACTATTGGGATACTGAGGCTGAAAATTAAAATTTCATTTTCCTCCAGGCATGCTTAAGAACCCATTAAATTGAGAGAAAAGACATTTTATTTATTTTTTTTATTCTTTTTTTTCCATTTATTTTTATTAGTTGGAGGCTAATTGCCTTTTATCTGAATTTATTTATTTATTTATTTATTTTTTATTTATTTTTTATTTTTTTTATTATTTGGAGGCCAATTACTTTACAATATTGTAGTGGGTTTTGTCAAACATTGACATGAATCAGCCATGGATTTACATGTGTTCCCCATCCCGATCCCCCCTCCCACCTCCCTCTCCGCCCGATCCCTCTGGGTCTTCCCAATGCACCAGGTCTGAGCACTTGTCTCATGCATCCAACCTGGGCTGGTGATCTGTTTCACCCTAGATAATATACATGTTTCGATGCTGTTCTCTTGAAACATCCCACCCTCGCCTTCTCC